TAGACGAAAGACCAGGGAAGCAATATTGAATGAAGGAAAGAAACAAAAGTAGAAATAAACTCAGAAGTTAGAAATTCATTGAAAAAGAAAAGAATTGATGCTGTAGAAAAAAATGAAGGACAAATAGCAAAAAAAAAAAAAAAAGAAAGAAAGAAAGAAGAAAGAAATGGCTTCTAGAAAATAGCGAAAGAAGGAAAGAAGTCAATGAGGCAAAAGGAAAAGAAATAATGCTTAATAAAAAGGAGGAAAATATTTGCTTGGTGAGAAGAAGTGAAAGCTGAGAAAATGAAAGTAAGAGAAGAAAAAGAAAATAAATTTAAACATGCGAGGTAAATAGAAAAAAAAACTAAATAAAAAAAGAGATCAAAGAACTTCAGTCGTTTACAGTAGTGAAAAAAAGAAGGAAAGATGGAAATTTAAGAAGCATTGTAATATGAAAATTTATCCATTTTACGCAGCACTTATTTTTCAGAATAACCCCCTTAGTTTTCAATTTAACTAATTCATAGTAGGTTAATAATTACACTTATCAGGTACCATAAATTCAAAGGACAATTTTCATGACTGATTGTTTAAAGTTATTCTTGTTCTTATTTTCCCCAATTTGACGTATGCCATTTATTGCATTTTATGCTGAATATCATCAAAGTAAAATTTATGTCATAGAGATGAAGATAATAATATAGTTAAAATGTACATTATTTAACGAAAACTTTAAGTATTAAATCTGGATGAATTTAAAAGCCTGAAATGAAATGTTGAACGCTGCACAATACATAGTGTAAACAAAGTTATACCTGGATCGACAGACAACTGAGGAATACCAGTTCATACAGAAGCCGGACAGGTGTGATAACAACAAAGATGAGGATATTAGTTCGAATTTAAATGAAAAAAAAGTTTTTGTTAAAAAATAACAAGAGTAAAAAAAGAAATATAAATTATTTGAGCATAATTTTACTTTAATTTTAAAATTTTACTGCTAATTATAATATTACTGTGGCTAAGAAAAGAAATAAAACTATTTGGAAAGTGACCCTTATAAAAGAATACAAATTCATAGAAATTGGAAAAAAAGATGACTAAGAGAAAATGCAAGAAGTAAATACATATTTTATAACAAAAGATAAATGGAGAAATAGGTAAATACAGCATAAAATATTATTTTAATAGATTTTCTGATTATACGTTATTTTATACATAAAATACTCAAGTCAATGCTCTGTTTGTAATAAACAGTATTAACCACATTTACCAGCCGGAATATCCGAGAAATTTCATAGAAAAAAATGTGTCCTCCCTAACTATATTACCTAATACATAACCATAACCATATTAACTAATACATACATGCATATATATATATATATATATATATATATATATATATATATATATATATATATATATATATATGCATTTCACCCAAAGTAAGGCGTGAAGCCACTAGAACGCAAGGGGTTATAGAATATTTGGAGCAAGATCAAATAGGGAGTGATAGAGGAAAGGATGAGGAGAAAGATAGTGGATAGATCAAGGCAACTGGAGATGTCGATTGACATGACATTTGAATAGTTGGAGATCATGTCTCTCAGGGAAACAGGAATAGAGAAGGGAGTTCCACAGGCGGGAGGTGCGAGATATGAAGCTATTGGAGTAGAAGAGGCGGCTACATTTAGGATTTTCGACAGTGAAAGGGTGAGAGCGGAATGCCAACATTGAATTCGTTGGGCGCTTGAATTCATGAAGTCTGAGAACCGGTGAATGCATCTCCTCGGAGCAATTACCATGAAAGTATTTGTAAAAAAGACAGAGGGAGGCGACATATATATATATATATATATATATATATATATATATATGTGTGTGTGTGTGTGTGTGTGTGTGTGTGTGTGTGTGTATGTCGCGATGGATAAATTGCCGTTTAAATCACGCTAAAATTAAAATAATGCTAATATGAAATAACATAAAACGAATGTAATACTAACATCTCATTTTAACCGATTTATTTACCAAAATTACACAAAAACATTTTGAAATATTAAAAACTAAAATTATTCAATAAAATAACAATTGGCTTCATCCATGACCTCCAGACGACTTCAGAATCCCTCACAACTCTTCTGTACCGTCTACTTCTTTGAGCTAGTGAATCCTGCCATAGTTATTGCATTAAGTTTATATTTGGTGTTACAAAGAGTTTTTGTCGATCTCTCGCTCAACTTACCCCCAGACATAATAATCAAGATGGCTGCAGCCTGTGTAGATAGGCGACCAGATTCAAGGGGTGATGTGGTCTCAGAAACTGTCCGACAAACATAACTTGGCACTCCTGATTGTGAGGCATAGTGCAGACTCCAGTTACCAGGTATAGGGTCTTCCAGAAGCGACCCTCTTTATCCAGATACTGCCTCCAGGCAGTTAATGTAGACCTCTGTGTCGAGTCTGAAGTCAGATGGGAAGATGAATGAATACGTAACGTCGCTATCACTAAGAATTACTTCAATCACCATCGTAATCATCATTAGACTCATCCAATTCTTTCTTAATCCACTCCACTATCCTTAGATTGACAAGCGGAAAAGTTCGAACAAAGCCACCGGTGCGAATGCCAAGTAGTACAGCATGCCGTTTCCAAATTTCTTTTGCAATCAATTACATCATGATGGTCCATTTCCCATAGACGATGAAACTACTATGAAGTGCAGTCGACAAATTAAAAGCAAATAATGCGCATGCGTGAAATTAAAAATGTAAAATGGCAACAGTTTACACATCACAACTGTATATATATATATATATATATATATATATATATAATTCATCAAAATCGGCTTACAAGGTACTGCGGATAAAAGTTTTTCAGTATCGCATTATGTTTTGGGACTTTATAATTTAAATGTTGGATTTTCATCTGTCGTTATTTAATGAAGCATCTTGAACCGCTGTACATTGTGAATCGTTTTTAATGAAAGTTGTATAAAAATGGATTTCTCCCTAAATACTCAATTTTACATATATATTAGTGTATGCATATGTGCGCGTTTGGTTACAAAACTTAAATAATAAGAAAAGAGATCTCCAAAAAATTTAAAAGGGAACACTTTTTTTTATAATTCTACACAAAGCTACGAAAAAAAAATATGATACATAAAATGAAATTATTAACTTACAACTAAATAAAAATAATAAAATAATATAACAATGAAATACTATAAAATATATTGTTAACACGTGTAAAAATATAAAGAAATGCATTCTTCTCATATAGATCAAATAAAAACCAATATTTTACAAAAAATATTTCCTTTCAAATAACTAAGAAAATTAACAGACAAAATTACGACACGAACAGTGCAACAAATTTTAACAAAAAACGTTAAGACAAAGTAAAATTGATACGAAAAAATTGAAATTCACACGAAAAAAATCTAATTAATATTAAAAAAAGTATTGTTAACAAAATTAGAAGAGAAAAAGAAGACATTTTATTAAAATATTTATATAAAAAATTAGAGTTAATACGAAAAACACAAAAAGAAGAAAAAAACAATTGCACCCATAAGATGGTTTTGCAAAAAGATGTCAAAAATTATAGTCGTGTATTTGTTGGTGATAAACGAGAAGAAATGACGGTGAATTGCTAGCAAATCTGGTTGTCTTATTCGGTACGAGGCGTTTGCATTTACGCGGTGGCGAAGATGGATGTGGATTCGTCCACTGTTTACTTTATTGATGAGAACAGATTGCGCCTGTTTGGTCGGGCGACAAGCAATTTGGAATGGAAAGGAAGATAGCATGAAATTAAAAGACAATGACAAAAGAGGGAAATATTCACAATAAAGGGATTGGGAAATCGGGGAGAAAATGTCTTGTTATGAATGAATTAGGGATATATAAATATATATATATATATATATATATATATATATATATATATATATATATATATATATTATTAATATTTTTAAAAATATGATTCCTTCGCTACATAAGAGTTCTCATGTTTCAAAAAACGAGAGCCGAAAAGTATCCAAATAATTATTAAAATTAAGTTGGCTTGTGGTGTTTAGTCCCGTTTCATCTTCAAGCGAAAATTTAAAAATAAGCTATCTCTCTGTTTACGTGTATTTTTAGGCACGGTCCGTGACAGAATTCTTTATTGTGGGAGTGGCTAGACTATTTTTCCTTCGTTAAGTGGTCAGAGAGTTAATTCTTATCAATAGATTCATCATCTTCTGTGAGGTTTTGCTAAGGTTGTGTAGGGTATCTATTTCAAGGCTAATGTTTACGGTCACCCTTTAGTTAGTTCCCAGTGAGGGATATTTTTATGGCACGCCTACAATCGTTGTGTCTGAGGAATTGTCTTTTATTATTGTCCATCTGATTATCTATTTATTTATTTGTTTATTCAAGTGGGTGTTTTATATACAGATCGCATTGCAATGAATTTCAATTTGACCACTTAACGTAGAACAAGTGAAAGACTGTCTTCTCAATGTGTGAAGAAAACCGTTTATTGTGGTGGCGGCAGTGTGATTGTGTGGGGAATTATTTCATCTGCAGGGGTTGGCCCTATCATCCGCGTACATGGCAATATCAATGCTGAGATTAACAAAAGGTTTATTCAGCAGCATGTGGTACCAAGATTACACCATAATCTTTATGAATCTCCTATTTTCATGCAGGACAATGCACCTTGCCACAAAGCTCAGAAGGTTATGGCTCTATTCGAAGAAGGAGGAATCGTCCTAATGAAGTGGCCAGTCCAGAGCCCCGACCTGAATCCATTAGAAAAGGTTTGGAAGTTAATTGGAGAAAGGGCTCAGAAAAGAAACCTGAAAAACCAGGATCACCTATGGGAGTTATTGAAAGAGGAATGGGAGGGAATTACTGCTGACTTTTGCAAGAAATTATTTAGATCATGTGGTCGATGATGCAGAGTAGTCATTGAAAATAAGGGGATGTTTGCCAAATATTAAATTTTGTTGATAATTTGT